CTTTCGATCTTCACCGACGTTCTTGCTAAGTAAAATGACTATGCTAGAACTACAAATTTTATTCTTTTCCTACTATATATCTCCAACAGTACATAATGTCAATGAAAGATGAATATACTATGTTAATACTATTAGATGATTTATACAAACTCAAATTTTAATGTGAATATTTTTTTATCAGTGTTTCGGACATCTAATTTTAAAAAGGAAATAAGAATTGATTTGTTCAATTTTCTCTAATCACAAAATATCTACAAAAAATATTACTAACATGCATATTTGATTGAGTTGTTTAATAATAAAAAAAAAAGCAGAAACTCAAATTATAACCCAAAATTAAAGCAAGCGATCCTTTATCTTACTTAAATTGTTTTGGCACCCCCGACCTCTAAATCCTAGATCCGCCTCTATACATTTGTATGTAGTAGTGTAGTAGTGTAGTAGTATGTTTTCAAACACAGATTGACAACAATAACAATAGGTAACAACTGAATTGAACAGATGAGAAGCCAAACACTTTAGAAATGGGACGAGGGCATATAGTCTCTTCATAACAATTTTCTTAAACTTTCTCTCTCATTTTTCGTCCTTTTAGCTATTTGTTAAGTGGACGGGAGTAACAAACAACCTTTGTGAAAGCATTCCGGTTTTGTTGCTTCTTCTTAACCCAATAACTAGTTGTGTGACATCATATGTGTAGGTATGAACATTGGGTAGAGGCTAGCTCATTACAATACTCATATCCTTAATAAAAACTTTAATTTGTCCTCAAGGTTCGAGTTAAGAACAATGTTAGAACCACGCTCCACACCTATTGTTGCCGAAAAATAGTAGGTGACCTTGTATAGAGTAAGGTTGAAGATTTATACTCCAATCAAAATCACTGTTTGGTGAAAGTTTGTATAGAGCCTTCATGAATATACTGCACATAAAATAAGTTGGAGAACTCGAGGCCATCGTCTTTTGTGCAGCCTTTAAAGTGTTGCCCACTAACCGCTCCAAAATCTTGTAGCAAAACTTTGTTGACACAGTAAATTTGGATATTCCCACCTTATAGGTAGAACCTATTACAATCATGAACTCGGAAATAATTCTAGGATCCCATGTAGAAATAGTCGAATCATTTTTAATTATAGATTTAGCAGATTCAACAGTGGGACGAGAGTAAGAAACTGAGCCAAAAGGCTTAATCAATTGTGTCCAATTACTAGTAACAGAGTGAATACAAACGTCGCATGGTGCAATTGATAAACCTGGAGGCATCCACCAGAGATTATAATGAACAAATTTGCACTAAAATCATAAGGGAATTGATTTGAAGTACATTGATCACTGGGTCATAGAATCAAAATGGCAGACAATTATTTAATGATCTCCTTAAAATAATCAATAATCACGAAAGAATAACATCTTGTGAAGTAGAAAATATGGTAAGCATACTAGAAACAGAGTCAAATAGAAATTCTAATTTAAATCAAGCAGGTGGAAATCGATACAAGGATGATGAAAGTTTCGTAGGAACGAGTTCACTTAAATAAGAAAAATATACCCATTTGTGGAACTACAAGTTGAGAGGATACAAGGGACTGCAAACAACATTTCATCAAACTTTACAAGTTTACTGGAATCACATTCTAAAGACCCGAACCGTCGTTAATTGGGAAAACCAAAAAAATGAGGAAATAGCTGGGCCACTGTCCAGCTAGAGCGGGCTCGATACCGCTAGGCGCCTGCGCAACAAGGGGGTAATGGGCGCTAGAGCGGGATAGGCGAGACAAAATGTAATAACGCGAAATCCTATTCTTTCTTCTTCCTAAATACCTAGATTAGTCCTAAAACACCCTAGAAACACCCAGAAAGCTGATCCAAGTTTCGGAAAGAGAGAGGGAGAGATTTCTAGCGTAAAATGTTGATGGATTGTGGAATTCCAGCCAAGATCACCGTCACAAGGCTCGAAAAACAGAAACTGAAGTCAATAATGCCATGCAATTGCTTGGTAACCTAAATAGGCTAGATTTTTACGAATTAATTAGTTATAAATTTGTGTTCACTGCGTAATATATGTAAATCAGCAGTAGAATTATGCATAAGCCCTCGTGCACCGAACGAAATATGGTTAATCCCTAGGAAGAAGCCTTAGATGATGATCTAGGGTTATGTATGATTTAATGCTTACATGTAGTTCGGTGGTGAGGGTTGTGTTTGTCATTGAAAGTGGTATATTTGTTCTTGCGTTATTGTAAATTGTGTATGAATGGGAACGAAACTTGTTGATCTCACCTAATGTGAATGGGTATGAACTAAGAATTGTTTGCTATGAATCACCTATTATTGTATGATTGTGATGATAGACTTGTGATTGTGATTGTGGTGTGTTTAATGGATTGGTTGCCACGTTCCGGCATAACTGAATGGGATCGGTTGCCACGTTCCGACATAACTGAATGGGATCGGTTGCCACGTTCCGACATAGTTATGGATCGGGTACTACGTTTTGGTATGCTAAAAGATTGGATTTGAGTTCCATCAGAGAACCAATGATATAATATAATTGTGTACATGGAGAATGTGAATTTGAACATAGTTCGTAAAGATAATATAATTGATGTTGTATTTCACGGAGTTGTGTTATGGTTATGAGGTCTTATGCTTGATTGTTCTTCTATATTGAGTAGACTTGGTGTTTATATTGATGAAAGGTGATACAGAGGTGGGGCAGTCGACATTCAGAGAATTGTTAATGTACGAGTAAGGGAGTCGTGTGTTGTAATAGTAAGGAGTGGGATTAGTGTATGTGTTGTAGTTTGGGGATTATCTATGTGTTAGAATAATTAGGCTATGATCAAGAACCTAATAAGTAGGATGACCAGAAAGGGGTTAGTAGTTAGACTGCTAGTGTGATCCGTTGGTATCTTGAGAGAGGGAAAGGAGGAGAAGCGAGTGGTTTTAATTCATGATCTACTTGTTGGTTTCTTGTGTTATGCGGTGGGCGTCGGGTTGACCGATGATGTCTACCAGTACGTGGGTTCGTATTGATACTCTTACTATGTCTCTTGACATAGTCTGGTTGCAGGATCGGTGATGTTTCATTAGGTGAAGACGAAATAAATCTCCCCCGGCTTTTTTTCCTTTTGCGTGGTGGGAGCTGTGTCATTTATTGTATTGTCCAAATTTTAGTCTTAGTAGCTCATGCACCTATTTAGACTAGATACTTAGGGGTGTTAATTACTTTACAACTCCTAACCCATTTGTGTTAAACATCCTTATTTATAATATTTCGTAGTATATTTTCTTTTATTTATTTCCGTTATTTAAATTTCTGCATGTTTAAACTATTGGGATAAGAGGGTTTTACTACTAAGGTGTTAGAGTGGGTGTCCCCACGACCCGGTGGGTTGGATCGCGAGACACACCTAACTGTGGATATCAAAAGACAAGGTAGGATCCCCCTTATCGTCGTAAGATGAGTCTACATCTAGAGGAACCAGATATTCAACAACTAACTAGGAGAAAGCGTGCAGTGCACATTGGACATTGTCGACTTTGCAAAGTATAGAAGAGAAGTTCTCGTCCAACTTCCACATCATATCAAGGGTGTTGTCATTGTCATTGATTATGTTAGAGTCATTACTAAAATACAGGGCTAATTTCCTTGTGAAGTGTTTCGGTCAAAAATTGTTTGTTGCGATACAACCATTGGAACCAATTATAAGCAGCACCATCGAGATAAAGGGGAGCAAGAGGTAGCCATTACTTTTCTGAGAAACCAAGAAATGTGAATACTGATCCGCCCTAAAAATTCACCTAGTTGGATTGTCACTGCTAAATCTATCGAGTACCATCAATGCTATTGGAGTATGAGATGAAAGAACCAATGTAATGAACCCAATTTTCAGCAGAAACTCATAAATATATTGCAATTACACATAAATTTATGCCATTACACAATAGGATTACAACAGAAATTCTGAAAAATAACAAAAGGTAGAGACTGAATTAAAGGATAGTAAGAACTAGAAGAGATGTGAAGCCATATACTTAGAAAGAAGACAACGGCATATAGACTTTTCATAACAAGTATTTGATTTTTTTAAGAGGAAAAAGGGGAGGTGATTACAATATGGGGGAACGAACCTTAACCAATAACGTGAAAGTTCAGGTAGCCAACCAACTAATTTACTAAAATTCCTCATTTCCCTTTTTCCAAAGTGTGAGAAATTGAAGTAGCTCTTTCTTTGTGATACAACCATTCATTGCAGAATTGAGTTGAGCAAATTGTTATTATCATATCAATTTGAACAACAACCATACTAAATTATCTAATAAATAGAGACGTTCACCTTCAGACTGTGGCGAAACCAAAATTTTAAATAAGGGGGTTTAAAATTCGTAGAAATAGACACCCGGAGTAGTCGAAGAGGGTTCAAGATCTACTATATACATAACATATTATTTTAACCATATATAAATAGTATAATTTTCCGTCGAAAGGGGTTCAGATGAACCCTCTTGTACCAAGGTGGCTCAGCCCCTGCCTTCAGGTTTTGATTCAAATTTATGAGATTCATCTACATATTTTCTAACAAACAAATATCGAGTATTTGTGTGATTTGTTAATGAGTTTGAATTCAACAAAGCTATTGGCGTTTGAGGTACAACTACAACAATAACACATATAAATTTGTTTCATCCTATGATAAAGTAATCCAAAACTCAGGATATTAAATTTCTTAAGAACAAACAACGAATTCAGTGGTCTCAATTTATATAAAGTTTCTTTTTTTTTTGTTTTCAGTTTGTTTCAAAATCTGGTTTTCCTGTTTTTAATACAGAGTAGCAACAAAGTTTTTCATATGAAAATATTTGTGTTAGATTTACTTATCCTCACTTTATCTTTTCCCATAATTATGATAATGATGTTGAGTACTAAATAATTAAGAATATTTTTTTAGAAAAATCTCAAATGTTAGTAAATATGATTAACATGTAGCTTTCTTTATTATACAAATTCACATTATTGGAAAGTCCACAGGCCACGATCAAGAACACATAATGAACAAAAGAGTAACTTCAATAATGCAAAACCACAACATGGTATTCAACTATTGCATTTTGTGTGGTGTTATCAACTTGGTAGGTTTTCGCGGTGGCGATGCCTTTTGCTAGCCTAAAAACACCGGAACCACCAACAATTGGCATCTCTCGATACTCGTGAAATACCTGATTGTGCCCAAGGATACTAAGCGTGCTACCATTGTACTTACCATTTGTGAACACAAGGTTGAGAGTCATAAGAAGGCCTATATCTTCAAACGAAGCTGAGCCATAAATCCCTTGGGCTCGGCCTATTATTTTGGAGTTGGGCTCGGGGTTAACCGTCAACGAATTGTCCATCATCCTTACAAAGCCAAAAAATGTTGGTGATTGAAATGTATTATTGGCTTGCGCTATTTGGATTGCTGATGGACTCTTTGCAGTCACAATATCATGAAAGTAAAAGTGAAGTTTGGTCATTTTTGTTTTTGCATGGGGAAGGTTCTTGAACCATTTGTCCACTCCTTTAGGACTTTGATCAAGCCCATGAGTTGAAGGCAATATTATTGTTATTGCTAAAAACAAGAAAGAAATCAACAAAAATTTCTCCATTTTCTTTCAAATGAACTTGGTTGTTGAATCAAATAATATATAGATATGGAAACAAATAAATATTAGGATAGTCTTGAGAAAATGTGAGAGAGGCAGGAAACAATTAAAAAGATTCTTCTAATGTTTATGTAATTAGTTTTAGGTTCATGCACTAAACAATGGAGTATTTGGATTATAAAAAATTTGCATGTTGTAGCATTAAACTCGTAAACAGCTCAGCAATGACCAAATAAGGAAAAACAACCCGGAATTTTTGGGATTGAGTTTGAGGATGTTAATGCTGAGGATTGTATCTGGCTTTTATAATTGGTAAAATATTATACTCCTCCTATTCACATTATTTATCCTACTTTCCCAATTTATATGTATTAAAAGAATATATCTTTCCTTTTTGTAGAAATAAAGGAATTTCAGAAGCGAAAAGAAAGTTTGATATATTCTGAGATTTTTTCTTATATAGTCTATATCTATGAGAGATGTTGGTTTACATTGGTATCTATAATATAATTTGAATTTCTCAAGAGCAACAAAGAAAAACAACAAAGCACAACAATTAATGAAAAATGACCTAAAAGTATCTGAATTATACTCAAATCCTAAACCTCGGGCCATTGCCATGACCACCCCACCTAAACCTTTTACCATTAATTCAAGTCAAAATCCTCCCCTAAGATAATCACAATAGATTCTAAGGCTTAAGAATCGAACTACAAGTTAGGGGACTAATTAACTTATAATACGAAGTGATAAATGGTACATTGATCACTATTGATGAAATAAGATATACCTTCTCATCTCCCTTCTAAACACATGTTAGCTAAATTCTCAGAATTTATATGTTGGATGTTATCTTGTTCACCTAAGCTCCTAGATTAAGGACTAAGAAGAATCATAATTAAGACTAGATCAATTTCATTTCATCGTTAACATAGTTTTTGCTCTTTTTTAATTGACATAATACATAAATGTGCCTTTTAACTTGGCTTCAAATCACATTTATGCCTTCAAGTTTGGATGTGCACAAATAGACACTTAACTTGTATAAAGTTGCACAAATAGACACACATGTCATCCTACATGTCATTTTTTGTCCTACGTGGTGTCCTACGTGTATTGTGTCATGTAGGAATCATGAGTTTATTTATTTAAAAGTTGGATAGTTAAAATGCCTGTTTGTGCATTATGAAAGTTGAAGGTCAAAGTTAAAATTTGAAGCCAAGTTTAGGGTCCAATATATGTATTATGTCTTCTTAATTTATGGTTTATTATTTATTTTATGGAAAATGCACAAGTATCCCCTAGACTATGATCGAAATCCCAGAGACACATCTTAACTATTATAAGGTCTTATTATCCCCATGAACTTTTTTTTTTGTAATTTTATGCACCTTTTTGGCTTACGTGACATTCAAATATCTCTCACGCGCCTCAATTGCGTGGAGTCACGGAGTGTGCTACGTAAGAAAAAAGGTGTATAAAATTACAAAATAAAATAAAATTCAGAGGGTAATAGGACCTTAGTTTAGTTAACATGTGTCTCTGGGATTTGGTCATGATTTGGGGGGTACTTGTGCATTTTCCCTTTATTTTATTTTAGTTAGTTTAAAGTTACAATCTTTTAGCTTTATTACTTAGAGCCTGTTTGACTGAGCTTTTAAGTTGCTCAAACTGACTTAAAAGTTAGTTTTTGACTTATTAAAGTGTTTGACAATTATCAAAGTGATTTATTTTAAGTAAAAAAAATGACTTATTTTAAGACAAAAGTTAAAAGCTAGGTAAGGGGTGTTTTTTTTTTAATTTAAAAGCTCTTTATGTTGATCACATATATTACCTTTTTGTCCTTAAGTTAAGTGTTTTATACAATATTGTTTTAACCCTAACATCTCTTTCTCCAATTTTCAAATTTATATTCCTCTTATAATATAATTTGTGAGATGATAAAGAAATATGTGAATGATAGACAATTACTATAACTTATGAATATAACTAAAATAAATCTTAAATCTTTTCTTTGATTTATTCAAATTATATATTTTAAAAAATCTACAATAAGTTGCGCATACAAAATTAACTTGAATAATAAATTTATATTCCTCTTATAAATAATTTGTTATGATAAAGAAATATGTTAATGATAGGAAAATATTATGGATGTAAAATATAAATAAATTTTGTTTTGATTTTTTTAAGTATAAAAACCTTAAATTAATCAACTTTTTATCATGTTTTGGATAAAAAAAAAGTGTTTACCAACACTTATTTACCAAACATATGTCAACTTGTTTTTCAACTGCAACATTTTTATCCTAACACATGTACTTATTTTAAAAATAAGTTCTAACACTTTAAAAAATTATTTTTTTAAGCCAATCCAAACGGGCTCTTGAACAAGTATACATGGAGAAGAGGCGAGCTAAAAGAGTGGACATGGAGAAGGTGGATTTGGTGCAAGGGATTTCTTCCTAAGCACAACTTCATTTGTTGGTTAGCCCTTCATAGAAGATCACTTACCAAAGAGAAGGGGGGTCTGCCACGATGATAAATGCCAACTATGTATGTGGGGATGTACCAGAAACAGTGGAGCACATTTATTTTGACTGTCCGTTGTCAAAAAGATGCATACTCAAAATACTTTAGTGGCTTGGAAAGGAAAGAGACAACTGGATACAGAGGAATATGGAGAAGGTCGGATACTGACAACATTAGCGGCTGTGGTGTATCGGATACGAAAGGCACGGAACTCTTCCTTATGGGATAAAAGCATCCCACCACCATGGCGGATTATGGAACAACTTTCTTGGGCAGGAAACAAGGAAGAACACACAGGGAATGGATACAGACATATTTGAGTAAAGTACAAACTTATATAGAAGTAGGAGACAAGTAGATTTAATTCTGTTTGGTGCTAAGAGTATGTAAAGACAGGGCTAGTTGTGGGGATTAATACAATTTTTTTTAATCTCTTAATTAATAAGAGTCTAATTTAAATTAATAGTTAATCATTACGCTTGTGTGTGTGTTTTGAAGTAACAAGTATCTCTCTCAGCCGTAGTCGAACGAAGTACTCATATTCATAGAGGTCCCGGGTTCAGAGCACTCGAAATTGTTATGCTAATTGGCCCTCCTAGCTCTTAAATCAATAGACCGAATATCAGGCTACAACTGCACATGTAAGGCCAAAATTCAACTATTTCCAAAAGATTCGCGATCCTGAGAAAATGAGAGTCTTCGTGGGTCCGAGTTCCTTTGAAGCTGCTCCCTAACAACGTAACACCAGACACATCAGGTTCATTTACTTTGTTATTGCAATTCAATACCATATTTATTGTTCCTTCTACTTTGTTTCACGTTAAATTAAGAGAACTACAAATTTACAAATAACCTATTTTGGTCATATCAATTCGAGTATTCTTGAGCCAGGTCTATAATTCAACTGTCACATTTTAAGGGTAACAATACTCTTTCTGTTTCATAAAGAATGATCTATTTTGAATAAACATGGAATTTAAGAAAGTAAAAAAAAATTAAATCTTGTGATTATAAATTAAAGTTATGTCAAATGTATAAAGTTGTTCTTTAATCTTGTGGTCTTAAACATGTCATGTGAAAAGTTAAAATTAAAATGTTACCAAAAAAAAATCATTCTTTTTAAAACAAACTAAAAAGAAAAGGAGATCAGTTTTTGTAAAAAGCGGAGAGAGTATATGAAGAGTTGTCACTTATTTCTAAATGTGAAAAGTAATTTCAAATTAAAAGTAAGTAGAATCCTTGAATTTAATCAAATTGACATCTACATTTGGCCAGAATAAACATATCGAACAAAGGTAATCATTCGTCACCATTCACTTAGACCCACTAACACACCAAAACCATGTAAGGGAAAAGATATAAATCCACTTTGAACTTGTTTCGAAATAGTTATAAACTTAAATTATCATAATGATCTATTACACATATTTATTATTTAAAAATGATTTTTACTATTCCCTAAATTTGACTTGGAAAAAAATAAAAAAGAAAAGTGTGTTTAACAAAATATAAAGTAAAAAAACAATTAAAAATCTTTTTTTTTACTATCACCCTACCCCTGTTAAGGGTCCAGCCCATTGATGGGTGGCCCATATATTTTGGGCTTTGTTGACTTCTTCTAGAAGTCTTGGGCAGCTGATGTTGGTGCTGGGTTTTTTGTTTTGTAAGAGAAAAAAAGAAATAGAGAGAGGGTTTTGAGAGAGAAAAGGGTTGCTGGTTTTTCTGGACAGCGAGACAAAATTTCAGATTGCAAGAGATCCGACCGTTGGATCGTTCTGAAATTTTCACAGCTGGTTCACAACACATAGAACTACATCTTGACCGTTCAGATCGTCAATCGGAGTTCTTGATCGTCTGTTATCTCAGCTGGCGTAACCTGCGTTTTTTTTGTGATATTTCTCAATTTCTCTTCTC